AGAGCAATGTCAATCTGGCGCATGTGGCTGCTCACTGTGTCATATTTCGTGTTGAGCTCAGTGAACATGTTGTCCATCCTTGTGTTGATATCAGAAGTAGCCTGGTTTAACGCCTTGGCCTGTATCTGTTGACTCTGGAGCAGCTGCTGCATCATGTTCCCTAAGGCTTTGATCTCACTCTGTCCACCCCCTGAATTAGCTGGAGCATCTTGCGGGTTGCTCTGCTGATTATGATGGTTCTGATTTTGGTTTTGGCTTTGAAATCGGTTCTGAGCTTGGTTGAAAACAAAAGTCTTGCCTTGGAAACTCGAAGGAAAACCTCTCTGCTGCGGAGCACCTTGCTGCTGATTTCGCTGCATTTGATCCAAAGAATTCTCTGCGTTGCTCCTCTGGTAAGAGAGCGGGTTAGGGTTGCTCTGGTAGTTGGGATTCTGATAATAGTTCCGGTTCTGCACATACCCTTGACCATTGATGTAGAGAACTTCCTGATGATCATGTCCCTTTGTTCCTCCCTCAGAAGCAAGATCATTAGCTATTTGCTCTGGTGTAGCCTCATCCATGTACATCACTTGCCCCTCACTGCCCTTTAGAAGCAGATCAACCTTGGCAGTGAGCTCATCTTTCCACTGACCATCAACACTGTTCACCTTCTTGGAGCGATCTGTTTCTGGATTTTTGTTCGCAGAACTAGCAGCCATGTTCTCTATCAGCTCGTAAGCACCCTCGGTGGTCTGTGTCATGAAGTCTCCCTTGCTCGCAGCATTGAGAGCATTGCGGAACTCCCACTCAACACCATCATAGAATATACCCACAACATGATCCTTCTCAAAGCCGTGGTGTGGGCACTCCCTTAGAGAGTCATTGAAGCGCTCCCACGCATCGTTGAATGGCTCATTTGCGTGCTGCTTGAATGAAGAGATCTTGTTCCTGAGGGTTGCTGTTTTAGACTTGGTGTAGAAGTGTCCCAAGAAGGCTGATCTTACCTGCTCCCATGTAGTGAGAGAGCCTGTTGGGAGCGACTTGAGCCATCGTGACGCCTTGTCCGCTAGTGAGAACGGAAAGAGCATACACTTGATGTAATCAGGAGGTACACCATTAGCACGTGTGAAGCTACAGATTTCTTCAAAAGCTTCAATGTGATCCATCGGTATCTCAGCTGGTAGCCCATGGAACATCTTCCTCTGCACCAGATTGATCATANTGTAATCAGGAGGTACACCATTAGCACGTGTGAAGCTACAGATTTCTTCAAAAGCTTCAATGTGATCCATCGGTATCTCAGCTGGTAGCCCATGGAACATCTTCCTCTGCACCAGATTGATCATAGCAGGCTTGATCTCAAAGTCTTGTCTGGCACAGGGTGGTGGAGCAATCGCGGAACGCGTAGCAGGGATGTTCCGTGGCTGATTTCGCTCACCGATCTGAGCGGCTTGCTCCTGATGATTGCGAGCAGCCTCTTGTGCGGCAATGGTCTGCTGCATCTGGAGCATTTGCTGTTGCATCAGAGCCAATGCTGCAGTGAGATCATTCTGGTCGCCGTGATCGCCCATTGTGGCGTGAGTCGGCCTCGGTTGTTGTCTGTTGGTTCTTTCTAATCTCGCTAACTCTTCGTTGGTGAGCGTGACTACTTGAGGTGTGGCTTCGAGTATTTCTACTGGTCATACACCTGGAACATCAGCTGCAAACAAAGAAAAGATAGAGCAAGTTAGATGTTTTAGACTAGAAAAATTGCCACAAAATAAAGGTAAAATTATTGGTCCCCGGCAACGGCGCCAAATTGATATTTCGTGTGAACGCACACCAATTAACCTAATGTGCACACTACCACAATCGAATGGTATGTCGATGTAACACTTAAGGATCGAATCCACAGAGACCAAATATTACACTTTATTTTTATAGGATCAAATTCAAGCTAAAACGATAAGTTTTATAAAGAAGCAAATCGTGAGAAACAAGTAATTAAATTGGGTTTTA